GTGAGTGGGCTGGATCAGGGGACCCTCGGGGTCTCTTCCAGTCCCAGCAATGCCCAGAGAGTCAAAGAGAACAGCTGAACACCCTCATTTCCTCAGCAAGCGTCCCCCCAGGCCAGCGACCCTTGATGTGGGTGCTAGGTTGGGACTCGAGAGGTCAGGGAATCGGTCCTCAGCTCTGATGCCGACTCCCTGTTGGACCTTGGGCAAGTCACTTCAATTCTTCCTCAGTTTCCCCACGTGGACAGAATGGGCATCACCTCAGGTGGGTCCCCTGGGAGGAGTGGTGCAGGGTTCGGCCCTCACCTCTCCCGCCTTGATGTCCTCCAGGGCTGTGAGGTGGAGGAGGAAGTTGTTGTCCGGGAAGGAGGTCTCGGCATTGGGGATGCAGCTGTGGTTACCTGCCGCGCGGAGGAGACGGGCACAGGAGGAGAAGAGTTAAGAGGCAACTGTAGGGGCAGTGACAGGAGTGCCCCAGACCTCCCCATCCCCACAGCCCGCATGCGCTGAGCCTGGGCGCACAGGAGACGCCAAGTCCCAGCTCTTGGTCTGTGCCATCTGCCGAGCGTGCCCACACCACTGCCAAGCCCTGCGGTGTGGGTGAGGGGGACGCTGCCTGCTAAGACCTGGGCCACCCCACCCTCCCTTGCACTCACAGAGCTGCAGATTTCCCGAAGGGCGTGCAGGTTGTAGGGGCACCTTGGTTAGCGGAGGGTCTGAACCCTGCCTAGGCTCCCCACACAGAGCTGAATGGGATCAGAAAAGATGGGGAACACATTCCCCTTCTAAACCCCGGCTGCTTTCTCTGCCACAACCCTCTGCACCCTCCTCACTGCACCCCAGCCATGTTCACCCCCTTTTCCCCCCAGAAAGGGGATAATTTCTCCTGATTCCCTGAAGAGCCCTCTCTGTGCTGCCCCCTCCAGAGCTCTGCAACCCCAGGTTGCCTTGTCACCAACACTGCACATCATCCCTGGATGCATCCTGGGGCCATTCAATGCCATTTTTCCCTCACGCAAGCTGCCATGAGCCCTTCCCCAGCTTAGACCTAAAACAGCTTCCTCAGCACATTACATCTTCCCCCTGGCCTGCAAGAAAAAGCTCTCTGGGTCCCGAGGGACATCCTGTCCCCAAGGCACCCAGCATATGTCAGACCCTGACAGAAAGACGATGCTTTGGAGCTCTCTTTAGCTTGAGGTCCCCGATTTGTCCCTGTGGGGTCATTCCTAAAGCACTATGTCACGTGCGATGGGCGGCAGGTGAAAGGCTGCAAGACCCTATCTGGTTCATGGATAGCAGCTCACGAACACTGAGGGTTGGTGTAGTGGGTTGTCAGTTCGTATAACAGTCTTTATTTCCCTGGGGAGCAAATTTGCCCCACATAACACAACTTGAACATCAATCAGCGACCAAACAAACACAAACAATCAAGGGTTAGCTCACACCCCGCAGTCTTTCCCAGACCCTGAGAGAGTATCCTGGCTCAGTGCTGTAGTCTGTAGCCATGCAGCCTTCCCTCTCTCTAGCTTTCTTCCCTGGGAGCTTTTAACTTCCTCTGGGCCAGCCAATTATCCCGTCAGCTGGCCCAGTCCTCCTAGGCAGGCCTGTAATCACTTTCTTATGACCTGCAGCCTGTTAGTTAGTTTGTGGGACTGGAAGTATCAGAGAGCTAGTTTGCAAACAGCAGCCTCCAAAAAACGTCCCAGATACCAGCACAGGTACTTGGATATGAGGAAGTAGATCAGACTGGGGCCAGCCCAGCCAAGGGGCATCTCTAAAACACCCAAATACAGTCAGCTTTCACTGATCCGAGCTCCACAGGACTGCCCGCTGCTCCTACATGCAAAACATCCACGCATGTGAGCCTTTCATATTATAAATTAGCACCGAGAAAGAGGAACAGAACCACAGAACAATGCAGACCCCTTCTAATAATAACTACACGACAAACCCAGCTGGCTGGTGTCTCTGCATGCACCTCCCCACTCCTACACCTGCCGGCATGCACTTGTGTATGTTCCCAGTGACCAGGCCGGGCGTTTACATGGGCTTAGGAACAAAGTGCAGCCCAGCCAGGGTCTGCTATGGCTGAACGCAATTAGCTCAGCCAGGGACATGGGCAGCACTGACCCCTCCCCTGTCCTGGTACTTACAGCAGCTCTGCAGCACGTACAGCCCCGATCCCTCGCAGTTCAGGAAGTCCCCAGTCTCTGCAGCAGAAAGGGGTTGTGATGGCGCTGACAGCATTCCCCCCAGACAAAGCACGGGCATGGGGCTTCACCACGACACCCGGCACCACTGGGCTTGGAGACCAGAGAGCGGGCCCAGCGCTTGGACCACCAGGTGGGACGACCCAGAGAACAACAGGCAACCCAGAAGGCTCCTGGCCCCCTCTGCACCCACAACATGGCATCCAGTGTAGCCCATCAACAGCGCTGGTCCATGCAGCCCATGGTGGGGTCACACCCAGGAGCTCACCCCTCAATAGGCCCCCCCCTGGGAAGGATGCCAGGGACCCCAGCCAGTAGCCACTACCTTTCTCGATGTCCTTATAGAGCTGGTCTATGAAGGCGTCCAGCTGCTTTCTCTCTTGTAGGGGCAGCTCCAGTGCATCACACCCATGGACCCACTGACTCAGGGAGCTGAGGAAAACCGAACAAAGCATGGCTGTGCTTCCGGGGGTCCATGCATGGGAAGGCCACAAAGCCAAGAGCACGGCATGTACCGTGAACACACGCGTCCTTGACAGCACAGGAAGGGATCGTGCTCAGCGGCCTGGATTTTAGCCGTCGCTCACCTTCTTCAGCACAGACCCCACTCAAAGGCCGAGCACCTCCTGCTTCCAGGGCTCAAAGGATTAAACCGTCCACCAGTGCCAAGCCACCAGCTTTGAGGTGGCTCGCGCCTCCTGGAGGGGTTTGGATGTGAGTCCCAGCCCA